GATTATACTTAGTTTTGCTGGGTAGGTGATTCTAGGTTGTAATCCTAGCTCTTTTGCCCTCTGGAATATCACATTCTAAGCTCTCTGATCCTTTAATGTAGAAACTGCTAGATCTTGTGTTATCCTGGGCTCTATGTTATTTGAATTGTTTCTTTTTGGCTGTTTGCAGTATTTTCTCCTTAATCTGGGAGATCTAGAATTTGGCTATAATATTCCTGGCAGTATTTGTTTTGGGATCCCTTTCAGGAGATGATTGGTAGATTCTTTCAGTTTCTATTTCACCCTCTGATTCTAGAATTTCCAGACAGTTTTCCTTGATAATTTCTTGAAAGATGTTGTCTAGGCTATTTTTTTTATTGTGACTTCCAGGTAGTCCAATAAATCTTAAATTTTCTCTCTTGGATCTATTTTCCAGGTTAGTTGTTTTTCCAATGAGATATTTCACATTTTCTTCTATTTTTTCACGCTTTTGATTTTGTTTTATTGTTTCTTGATGTCTCATGGAGTCATTAGCTTCCACTTGCCCAATTCTAATTTTTTTTTTTCTTTTGGTGAGGCAATTGGGGTTAAGTGACTTGCCCAGGGTCATATAGCTGGTAAGTGTCAATTGTCTGGTCTGAGACTGGATTTGAACTCAGGTCCTCCTGACTCCAGGGCCGGTGCTCTATCCACTGTGCCACCTAGCTGCCCCCTCAATTCTAACTTTTAAGGAATTACTTTCTTCAGTGAGCTTTTGTACATCCTTTTCCATATAGTTAATTCTACTATTTAAGGAGTTCTTCTCTTCAGTGAATTTTTGTATATCTTTTTCCATTTGCCCAATTCTGCTTTTCAAATCATTCTTCTCTTCACTGGATTTTTGTGCTTCTTTTTACCATTTTGCCTATTCTGTTTTTTAAGGTGTTATTTTCTTCAGTATTTTTTTTTGTGTGTGCCTGCCTCCTTTACCAAGCTGTTGACTCTTTTCATGATTTTCTTGCATCACTCTCATTTCTCTTCCCAATTTTTCCTCTACCTCTCTTACTTGATTTTAAAAATCCTTTTTGAGCTCTTCCATGACCTGAGTCCAATTTGTATTTTTCTTTGAGGCCTTGGATGTAGGGATTTGACTTTATTTTCTTCTTCTGAATGTATGTTTTGATTCTCCTTGTCACCATAGTAACTTTTTATGGTCAGATTTTTTTTCTGTTGTTTGCTCATTTTCTATCCTGTTTCTTAACTTTTAACTCTATGTTAAAGTGGGGCTCTGCTTCCCAAGTGGAGGTTTTTTTGTGCAGCAGTTTTCAGAGGTAATTCTGGGGACTTGTAAGTTTTTGGCTCTTCGGTGGTATGATCTAGGGAGAGGTGTGTTTACTACTGCACTGGTTTGTGAGCAACCACAAGCACTCTTTTCAACCATGGAACTGTGACCAGGGTCTCTGCTCGACTACTGCTGCAAACTCTGCTGTGCTAATGCTCCTCTTCCCATTGGGACTAAGACCCAGGACTGTGACCCAAGACATGAAGGGACCCCTGTAAATCTCCTTCTGACCTGTTGTCCAATCTCCTTACTGTCTGTGGGCTGGGAGATCAAAACTGCTGCTGCTGCCACTGATTCAGTCACCCTGAGGCCTGCTTCTGGTTTGCTGGGGTTGAGTCTCTGCTGGTGTGGCCCATGCTGGACTGTGCTACACTCTCTTCCTGGTGCAATAGTCCTTTCCTGCCAACCTTCTAAGTTGTCTTGGGCTGGAAAATTGTTTCACTCCAATTTTGGTCAGTTCTGCCACTCTATAATTTGTTTAGAGTCCAGAATCAATGATTTCTCCATTTGATGTTTCTTTACATCTCACCTATGGAGTGAAGGATCATTTCAAATTATACCTAGCTGGGTTTATGGCAAATCCATCTACTCGATCCTAAGCTCCATGAGATCAGGGACCATGTCTTATTGAATGTTTTCTCTCTCTCAACACATATCACACCTCTCTAGATACAGTGGATATATAGTAAGTTCTCTTTTTAAAAGTTTGTAGACCCATATAGTCATGTCTCAAACTATTTTTATTAAATTTTTATGTAACTTGTGCCTTCTATCCCATCTCTGAATTATGGTTTTCCTTTGGGCCGTGGGGAGATGATTCCTGGCCACAAAAACCAATTGGCAGAGGATTTTCCCCCAAGGGGAAAATCCCCTGTTATTCTAACAGGGGAAATTCTTTGGCCTCCTCCCCCTTCATGGGTGTGGGTGAGTGGTCACAGAAATTATAAAACAGGATAAGGGATGTTATTCACATACCCAGAAATCTCTTTTTCATTTTCTTTCTTCCTTCTGTTGACTTGATATTTGGGCTACCAAGAAAGTAGGAAAACAGGAAGGGAGAGTAAGGGAGCTGTCACATGGACAGGTAGAGAAATTAGGAGCTGCGCTGGAATAAAGTTGGGGCTCTATAAGGAGATTATCTGAGCATGGGACACATAGCAAAACAAGTGGAGGCCAACACAGCCAGGAGAGGTCTCCATCAGAGAGCAGAGATAGAGATTTGAAGCAATCAGGAGAAATGATCCTGTGTTAATGAAACTTCCACCTATCCTAAATCCAGTTGTGCTAATTGGGGAGAAAGTAGATTTTTCTTTTGATCCTGATTCCCAGGTGGAGAGGCAATGCCCCTACCATTCTTCTTTTCCCTGTGACTGTGATTGGGATTCTCCCTAGCTGCACTCATATAAGTGACAGGTCAACCAGTAGGAAATGATTACAGATGAATAAATTGGGCTACTCCTTTTTCACTTTATTCTACACAAAGTAACCTCCTTAATCATATGATTCTAAGTTTCTGATTCAAGGAATGCAGTGGGCAGTGACCCAGGAGAACAGAACCCAAAATGTTTAGGGGCTCATGAAGTAGTATAGGCCACAGACCACATAGTTTAATATTTTGAACTATATTTCATTTCAGACCTTGTTTTGAGCCCTGCCTGCATGAGCTTAATACTAGCTGCTTTGTGCTGAGAACACAGCCTGGAGGGTGGGCAGAGTAGCCTCAACATCTTGTGGCTGAGCCCCCTCTGGTGACCAGAATGCATATTGCAGCCTCTTAGGAAAGGCTCCAGTACAGCCCAGAAAAAGGATTTGTAAGATCATTTGATTGGTGGTTCAAGTAGAGAGCCTCCTAGTGGTCAATTCCAACATTGTACTTCCTTGCAGGATAATTATTATAGTCATATATTATCTTTCTGTAGAATTAGGAAAGCAGTAGCATATAGCCCTAGGATTCTTATTAGGAGAGGCTGGGCTATAGAGTATGGTTAAAAGATGATTGCTAATATGAATATACCCTGCTAGCCTAGTTGGTGCTAAATACAAAACAGAAAGGACTTAATTTTATCTTTGAACACCTTCTCTTACTGAACATGCCCATCACTGAAAGAAATTAATTATTCTTTATAGTTACTGAAAACATACCATGCCTTAACATTTGTTGAGCTAAAATCTTCACACAATTTATTGCTTTGATGAGGTTATCTTCCAGAAATTTTGAAAGAGAAATGAAAGAAGACATGAGCAAGTTTCAAGTTCATTTTATCTAAAAGCATCAATTTTACTTGTTAAGGCAGTAGAAACAATTTTGTAAGATTGTTCTTCTAAATTTCAGATAAATGGGACTACAGTAGAGAAAGGTCTGTTTTCTCATTCATCTCCTTGCAGACCTAAGTGGAACACAGCACTTTAATCAAACTGACTTGAATTTCTATATTAAGGCTTACCAAGTACTTTTCTCTCCGTAACACTGTAAAGTAGACAGTTATCCCTATTTTTCAGATGAGAAAATTGAGACTAAGAGAGGAGATGTGAATCATCCATAGTCAAACACATAATCAATATTAATGTCAGAACTTAAAACCAGGTGTCTCGACTCCAAGCCCAGGGTGCAGGATGCATGACAGTAGGTTGAGGGTTATCCATTTAAAAAATCAGGAAATAAAAAAAAAAATTTAAAAAATTGGGGGCAGCTAGGTGGTGCAGTGGATAGAGCACTGGCCCTGAAGTCAGGAGGACCTGAGTTCAAATCCGGCCTCAGACCAAACACTTGACACTTACTAGCTGTGTGACCCTGGGCAAGTCACTTAACCCCAATTGCCTAAAAATAAAAAAAAAATTAAAAAAATTAAAAAGTCAGGAACAAAATCAGGAAGGAATGGAAATCCTTTTTCATTATGTTTTTCTTTCCAATTAAAAAGAGCAATGAATTATTATTATTATTATTTTGTTTAACACATCCTTAAAGTAAACTAAGAGGAGATGAAGATTAGGGGGTTGTCAGAATGAAGTGACTAGTGCAAGATCACTCGGCTGTCAGCTGTGACAGATGCAGAATTTGAACCCAGATCTTCCTTCCACCAATTCCAGCCTTCTAGCCAGTGCACCAAGTTGACTGATCACATAGAACAGCAGCTTGGGAAAAAACATAACTTGGCTCACTGGTCACAAAAAAAAACCAGTCAGGATTAGAAGTAGTATAGCTACACCTTTAAGGCACAGATTCTGGAGCTGAAAGACTCAGGTTCAAATCTCACCTTGGGCACTTCCTTCTCCCTCTATGACCTTGGACAAATCACTTTACTTTCCTGCCCTCACGTTAGCCACTTGATGTGATAGCCACCAATGGGTCAAGATTTCGCCTTGCACAATTCACTTTAAAATGTTGTCTCTGGAAACATGTTTTTTGTAGAACTGAAGAATTTCTGTATTTATGATACTTCATACTCAAACCTGAATATCATGCAGTTTTGTGTGATAACCAGACAAGTTTCCTTTCAGTTTGAGTGTTCCTGAAAATCTAAAAAATGTAGCCAGGCATTAAATCATTATTAAACATTGTCTTTTGAAAACTAGTTGCTTTGTTCTGTGCCAACTTTATTAGAGAAAATGATTTTTAAGGGAAAAATACAATATTTGATTTGTAAAAGCTCCTTTATAAACAAAGGAATTGTGATGAGCTGGAGGACCTAAAAATGTCAGGTTATAGATGACAACCTTCAAGATACTTGGAAACAATTCTTCCTGTGCAATTGTTTTGCCAGCCTAACCTGCAGAGAAAGGGAGATAAAGCAATGGAAAAGTGAGCAAAACTACCCTTGGATAAATATTCATTTTTGATTTGCATGAATATGGAGACATGTAGTAATATTTATGAAATGCAATTATCTATTTCAAAATAGAAAAACAAACCAACAAAAAAAAAACCCAAATAGTCCTAATAGAAGTCATTCATTAGACTTTGACTTTTTTATTTTAGAAAGAAGATCTGGCTATTAGATTTCAAAAGTTTCTACCAGTTCTGAAACTTCTGTGATTCTTAATGTTGAGACAACCAATAAATGAATCCATTATTTTATGTTCTCACCTAACTAGACTCTTTAGTGTCTCCTGTTCTTGTCCCAATGTCTACCATCTCTGTGCTTTTGAAAGTGTCCCCCATGCATAGAATGGTCACTCCCCTCTGCCTTGCCATTTTCACCACATAAAATTCCCCCTCTCCTTCAAGGCTCATCCCCTGTCACCTCCTCCATGAAGCTTCTCAAGAATCACCCAATGAAAGTGATCTCTCTCTTCTAATTTCAACTGATATTTTTTTTCTGAATGTCTGCTTTACATCTAAGACATTTTGCCTTGTTTCATAACCATTTGAATACTTCTCTTTGCCTTCCTATTTGGTTGTAAGCTTCTTGGAGAAAGAGTTTAACTCAAGCATCTAATAGAGGGCCTTTGGTTATTGAAATGAATTTTATGAAGAGCAACTACCAAATACACTACCCAGTGCTGAAGAAATCAATTCAAAACATATTAATAGTCCTTAATAGAACATTCCTCCACCCCATCCAACACCAGACCTTATTATTGTAGAAAATATCACAATACTCCCATTTACCCATGGAGTGATTTCTGATTCTTCACTTCCTCTCATTCCACATATCTAATCCCCATATCTAACCAAGACATCCATTTTATACCCTTGCAATACCTCTCATATATGTTCCCTAATCTATTCGGACACTTCTGTCATCTTGGTATAGGTTCTTATCGCCTCATACCTGGATTATAACAGCAACCTTTCGGTTGGTCTCTCTCCCATGAATTTCTCCCCATTCCAGTCCATCCTCCATTCAACTGTCAAAAAGATCTTCAAAAACACAAATCTCACCATGTCACCTCCTATCCAATCAACAACTCCAGTGATTACAAATTACCTCCAGGATCAAATCCAAAATCCTCTGTTGGGCATTCAAAGCCTTTTACATGCTGGACCAAACCCACCTTGCCAGTCTTCTGGCCTTACGCTCCATGCTGTACTCCACAATTCAGTGACACTGGCTTCCTAACTGTGCCTTGAACAAGACACTTCATCTCTCAACAGCATTTCTTTGCCTCTCTCACATGCCAGGAGCTCTCTTCCTCCTCATTTCTGCCTCCTGGCTTCTCTGACTTCCTTCAAGTCTCAGCTAAAGTCTTACCTTCTCAATACATTAAGAGAAATTACACCTGAGCTCTAGGTTGCATGAATCTAAGTAGTTCTTGTTGTATGAGACTATTGACATGAGTCCGATAAATACTACTTATTGCTGACAAATAACATTCGAACTCAGCCTGGCTCCCTATTCTTTCTGAACTGGTACCTCTCAGTTCATTCAGTCTTATCTTATAGACATCTTTCCTCAAGTGGTACATTTCCATTCCTTCCTGAACCCCATACATATCCTGTTGCTGTCCTGCCCCCACTCTACTCAGACTATTCCTTATGCATTGAATGGTCTGTTTCTAACCAGTTGATCCTATCCACCCTTCCCTTAAGCTCCAGCTTAACCACCATTTCTTTCTTTCAATGAACTCCAGACTCAACAATGATTTCTCCCTTTTGTACTTGGTTTACATCTCACTCATGGTCTTAGGGATCATTTTGAGTTATAGCTATCTCAGTTTATGGCAAAACCAGCTCATAGATCCTAAACTCCAAGAGGGCAGGACCATATCTTATTGAATTTTTTCTCTTTATCAACACCTATCACAGTGCTCTATACATAGCAGGTATATAGTAAGTGCTCTTTTTAAAAGTCTGAAGACCCAGATAGTCATGTCTCAAACTATTTTGATTAAATTTTTATATAACTTGTGCTTCTGCCTGTTATTCCATCTCTGGATTATTATTTTCCTCTGGGCTGTGGAGAGATGATTCTTGGCCACAAAAACAGATTGGCAGAGGAGTTTTTCCTCAAGAGGAAATTTCGCAACTCAGAAAGATAGCTCTTTCCAAAGAGGCCGCAATATGCATTCTGATCACTAGAGAGTGCTCAGACACAAGATGAGGCTGCTCTCCCCACCTCCGCTCATGTTGTGACTATGTTCTCAGCACAAGGTAGCTAGCACTACGCTCATGCCGGCAGGGTTCAAAATAGGGTCTGAAATGAAATATTGTTTAAGATATTAAAATATGAAGTCTGTGGCCTATATTACTTCATGTGCTCCTAAACCTTTTGGGTTTTCTTCTTTCAGTTCACTGCCCACTGGATTCATTGATTCAGACTTAGAATCAAATGATAATAGAATTTATTTAGTATAGAATAAAGCAAACAATACCTAGCCAAATTTATTCATCTCTAATCATTTCCAACTGATTTCTCTACCACCTATATGGGTACAGCAGGGAAGAGGGAAAATGGGAAAGGAACAATGGTAGGGGCATTTCCTCTCCATCTGAGAATTATGATCAAAAGAGAAATCCACTTTTCCCCTCATTAACAAAACAGGATTTATGATAGGTTGAAGTTTCTTTAACACAGGATCATTTCTCCTGATTGCTTTGAATCTCTATCTCTGCCCTCTGATAGAGGAAAATAATGATTCGGAGATGGAATAGCAGGCAGAAGCACAAGTTACATAAAAATTTAATCAAAATAGTTTGTGAAAGGAGTTCTCACTTTGACTAAGGTTATGCCATTCAGTGAGTAGAGCTGTTTAAGAGCTGAGCCAAGGGTTGGTCACTTTAATCCAAAATAAAAATAATCAAACTGGGAGGGGAAGACCCTCTGGGTTTTTTGTTAAAAGAGAAACAATTACTATTTACATTCACTTTGAGCCATCCTGGTCCAAACAATAACCATTAAGTGGTACTTGGGTAAGGACCTACTGCTGGCCAGTCAGTGAGAGCCAGTGTGCTGTTCACACCCAAGAAGTCTCTTTTTCATTTTGTTTCTTCGTTCTGTTGACTTGCTATTTGGGCTTCCTGAAAAGGAGGGGAATAGGAAGGGAGAATGAGGGAGTGGCCACCTGGATAGGTAGAGGAATTAGGAATTCTACTGGAAAAAAGCTGGGGCTCCATGAGGAGACTTTCTGAGCACGGAACATATAGCAAAACAAGTAGAAGCCATCACATCCAGGACAGTCTCCATCACAGATCAGAGAGATATGAAGCAATCAGGAGAAATGATCCTGGGTTAATGAGACTTCCATTTATCCTAAATCCTGGCATGGTAGTCAGAGAGAAAGTCGGTTTCTCTTTTGATTATGATTCTCAGATAGAGAGGGAATGCCCCTACCCTTATTCCTGTTCTATACAAAATAAATTCTATAATCATTTGATTCTAAGTCTCTGAATCAAGGAATGCATTGGGCAATGAACTGGGAGAACAAAATTTAGGGGTTCAGGAAGCAGACCTCATATTTTAATATTTTAAACAATATTTAATTTCAGATGCTTTTTTGAACCCTGCCAGCATGAGCTTAGTGCTAGCTGCTCTGTTCTAAGAACACAATCAGAGCCTCACTGGAGGCAGAGTAGCCTTAACTTCTTCTGGCTGAGCTCCCTCTGATGACCAGAATGCACATTGCAGCCTCTTAGGAAAGGGCTATCTGCAGTAGAGCCCAGAAAAAGGATTTACATGATCACTTGATTGGTGGTTCATGTAGAGAGGCTCCTAATGGGCAATTCCAACATTGTACTTCCTTGCTAGAGAATTGTTACAGTCATATATTATCTTGCTGTAGAATTAGGAAAGCAGCAGCACATAGCCCTAAGATTCTTATTAGGAGAGGTTGGGCTATAGAGTATTGTTAAAAGATGATTGCTAATATAAATATACCCTACCAGCCTAGATGCTGCTATACAATACGCAGCAGAATGGACTTTATTTTATCTTTAAACGCCTTCTTTCACTAAACATGCTCACCATTAAAAGCAATGAATTATTTATAGTGACTGGAAACATACCATGCCTGCATGCCATGCCAAGCTTCAATCTTCTTCTCACAGTTTACTGCTTTAACAAAGTTATCTTTCTGAATTTCTGAAAGAAAAATGAAAGAAGACACAAGCAAGTTTCAAGTTCATTTTATCTAAAAGAACAAATCCTAATTATTATGGCGGCAGAAACAATATTGGAAGATTATTCTCCCTAATTTCAGATACATAAGGCTGCCGTAGAGAAAGGTCCGTTCTCTCATTCATCTCCTTCCAGACCTAAGTGTAATGCAGCACTTTAATCAAAATGACTTGAATTTATATATCACTTTAAAGCTTACAAAGGGCTTTTTTTCTCTATAACCCTATGAAGCAGGCAGTTATCCCCATTTTTCAGATGAGAAAATTGAGACTAAGAGAGGAGATGTGAATCATCCAAGAGTCAAACACATAGTCAATGTTAATGTCAGAACTTAAAGCCAGGTCCTGGGTGAAGGGTGCATGATAGAAGGTTTAAGATCATCCATTTAAATGATCAGGAACAAAGTCAGGAATGAATGGAAATCCTTTTTCATTATTTTTTTCTTTCAAATTAAAAAAGGCAGTGAATTATTATTATTATTATTATTAGTGTGAAAAATGATTTTTCTTAGTAATCGTTATCTTGGAAACTCAGAGCTTCCCCATCCCCCTTTCTTTCAAAGTTCAGTCCTTCTTCATTATGTTGCCTAGACAAATCTGGGAAAATGTTGATTCCTCCCTATTATCAAGACAGGTGATATGGAAATTCATGTCTCTTTGACCAGGGTTGAGTGACCTGGATCACTACTCAAAAGATCCTCATTTTAATATAGCCCACCTCCCAGAGTTGATTGACATCCTTTGGGAACACCTATTGTTTGAAGGCTTATAACTCTGTAACCCCAAATCCTGAACCCAGCCATTTCTAAACTGCCATGCAATGCATGCCAAGCCAGCTTGAGAGAAATTAAACTGTGGACACATGCGCTCTGATTTGTTTGTCTCTTTCTTAGAGCAGACTTGGTTTTATATCGGGCTTCTTGGGGTTCCACATTACTTAACTCATCTTTAAAACAAGCCAAGAGGAGATGAAGAGTAGGGAGTTGTCAGAGTGAAGTGACTTGTGCGTGATCACTCAGCTGTCAGCTAGTGACAGATGAAAAATTTAAACCTGAGTCTTTTGACCACCAGTGCTAGCCCTCTACCACTGTACCAAGTTGACTGACCACACAGAACAGAAGCTTGGAAAAATACATAACTTTGCTCACTGGTCATAGAAAACAGTCAGGGCTAGAAGTAGCATAGCCACACCTTGCAAACACAAATTCTGGAGCTGAAAGACTAAGGTTCAAATCTCACCTTGGACACTTCCTCCTCTCTGTATGACCTTAGACAAATCACTTTACTTCCCTGGACCTCACTTCAACCATCTGTGAAGAGAGGGTGATGTACTACATGGCTTCTTACATCTCTTCTACATCTATGATCCTCTAAGGTGGACTAATGGGATTAGCCTGAATTGTTAAAAATTTCCATTATCGACATTCCCTAGCCTAAGGGCATTTATTGCTGGAAACTAGTTTAGGTAGCTACTTAAAATGAAAAGTGAATCTGAAGGACTGTGTTCATTGCTCCTGATTGATTAAGTTCCAGTCAAAAGGATTAAAAAATTATACTCTCCTAAGAACAGATTGCCTTTTTGGGCTTGGGAGTGATGAGACAGGGACTAGAAGGTTAATTAGAAAGTAGGAGTTTCTTATTGGCCTTGGAAAGCTTCTTCCCTTGTGTAGATTTTTAATCTGCATAGCTTGTGCCCTAAATCCACGAGGTTGCTCTTACCTGAGCAAGTAACTTCACACCTTGTGTTTGGTGTCTTGCCATCATCACACCAGTAGTGACTATTTATCTGAAATATCCCATAATTAGTGCTTTGATCTCCAGGATTATAGTGTGTAGCTGTGGTGTTCAAATCACTCTCCACCAAGCACACCACTGTGATGAATTTATTTTAATAGTGATTATTTCATATCTAATCATATTTATCCAGGAAAGTTAATAGGTCTGAACTAATGAGATCCTTCTTCAGCACTAATATAGTTTATAGGTGCTGCAGTGGATGGAGCTCTCACCCTGCAAGTAGGAGGACCTAGCTTTATTTCTTTTTTTTGCCTATTTTAATTCCTTCAATTTCCTTTTCTTCTCTTATTGCTAAAAGTAACATTTCTAGTACCATATTGAATAACAGTGGTGATAATGGGCATCCTTTTTTCACCCCTGATCTTACTGGAAATACTTCTAGTTTATCCCCATTACATATAATGCTTGTTGAAGGTTTTAGGTAGATGTTACTTAACATTTTAAGGAAAACTCCATTTATTCCTATCCTCTCTGGTGTTTTTAATAGAAATGAATATTGTATTTTGTCAAAAGCTTTTTCTGCTAAAGAAAAAAATAACAAATTAAAAATCCCTAATTAAATACCAAATTAGAAATACTGAAAACCAAAGGAGAGATTAATAAAATTGAAATTAAGAAAACTATTGAACTAATAAATAAAACTAAGAGCTGACTTTATGAAAAAAACAACAATACAATAGATAAACATTTGGTTAATTTAATTTAAAAAAAAGAAGGAAGAAAATGAAATTACCAGTATAAAAAATGAAAAGGGTGAATTCACCACCAATGAAGAGGAAATTCAAACAGTAATTAGGAACTATTTTTCCCAACTGTATGCCAATAAATTTCACAATCTTAGTGAAATGGATGAATGTTTACAAAAATATAAATTGTTCAGATTAACAGAAGAAGAAGTAAAATGCTTACATAACTCCATCTCAGAAAAGGAAATTAAACAAGCCATCAATGAATTCCCTAGGAAAAAATCTCCAGGGCCCAATGGATTTACAAGTGAATTCTATCAAACATTTAAAGAACAATTAATTCCAATACTATATAGACTATTTGGGAAAATAGGCAAAGAAGGAGTCTTACCAAAATCTTGTTATGATACAAATATGGTGCTGATACTTAAACTAGGAAAAGTCAAAACAGAGAATGAAAATTATAGACTAATTTCTTAATGAATATAGATGCAAAAATTTTAAATAAAATATTAGTAAAAAGATTACAACTTATCATGAGAATAATACACATGACCAGGTAAGATTTATACCAAGAATGCAGGGCTGGTTCAATATTAGGAGGTCTGGTTGATTTTAGAAAAACATGGAAAGGCTTGCATGAAAAAATGAAAAGTGAAATGTGCTGTAGAAAGAGAAACATATATGTAGTAACAGAAATACTGTCCTAGGAACAACTTTGAATGACTTGAGTATCTTGAGTATCATAAATACTCAAACCATCTAAAAAGGATCTACGAAGGAAGATTGTTATCCACCTCCAGAGAAAGAACTGATAAACAGAATTATGTATCGTATAGTTTCATACATATGTGTGTATATGTGTATATCTATACATCTATACATACATACATATATAATTATATATGTATATTTATTTGTATGTAGTTTGCAGTCTTCTCTAAGGGAGAATGGTAAGGGAGGGACAAGAAAAAGTACACAGCAGAGAACAAAGGAACACTTAGAAGGATGCACAGAAAAGTTGGGTAGCTTCAAAAACAATGTGCAGTGTTTATCCCATCATTTTTTTAAGAAAAAGTAAATAATCTCAAATGGAAATTCATGGTTTCCCATTCTCCTTATGTTCTGTTGTATACATGGAAATGTTGACTATATTTTCCTTTTCTGTATTTAAGTTTAAAATTTAAATTAAAAACATGTGGAATACCCTTGAGATTAATATGTTTGTTTTCTGTGAGTTACCTTATCAGGCATGTGCATGGGACAGAACAAGCCTGTTTGCTGAAAGGCACCAATCTGGAGCCTGCAGTGAGCCAAAGTCTTGTTTGCTCCCAGAAGACTTTGCTAATGTTCTCTGGCTGACCTTGCTGAGCTGTGCCCCCCACACAAACCCAACCTGGCCCAAACCAGTCTTGTGGTCAATTGTTCTTACAAAACATCCTGCTTCTGTGTCCAAACTGTTTCTAACAAGGACTGTCCATTCCCCCCCCCCCCCATCTCTCCATAAACCTCTCATTTGTGGTTTTTAAGCAGAAATCTCCCCTTCCTCTAGTGGGCTGTGGAATCCTTTGCACTTTGTATTAGGGTACCTCTGCACTAGTGTCTGATTTTCTTCCTAATAAAACTTTTCTGTTTTCAACTCAGCTTGGACTCTGCAGTTTTGAGGGGTGGACTTTGCTCAGTTGATATAATGAATAAAAAATTAAAAAAAAAAGAAATTGGAATAAGGGAGAAAGTGAGGGAAGATAACATGAAGTTTTGAGACATGGAAAAGAAGAGAAGAGTTTGTGTGATTAAATTCTATTTTCTCGGTAAAGTATGAGACAAGGGACTCTCCTGAAATAAAAGGAGGAGGTGGTGGTGTGAGTGGCTTGAGTTGAAAAGAGAACTTTTAGAACAGATGCTCTGAGGAATGTGAAAGAGAATTAATTTGATAAGGGTAAAAGGATTGCTTTATTGTAATGAGCACCTACTTGAGATTCAATCACATACATTTGAATTGGACCCAGCCAACTTGGTCATGAAACTTCCTCTAGTAAAAGCATGTCAGCAGAAATGAAGAAAACAAATGGGAGGCTGAAGGCAGGACAGTGACCCAGGGTTGGGATTTCACAAGGTGTGAATAGTGATAACATAAGGGAACAAAGTATGAGAAGCTAGAGTTGAACTGGCAGGGTTGAGATTGGGAAAGGAGGAAAATGAAGTTAGAACAAGTGAAAGAGCCTGCAGAACACTGAGAGAAGGGGGACTGGAGATCCTAGTAAAGACAGAGAATATTTGCCTCTCCCATATTCCACCCTTTCAAAATCAGGACATTTGCTCTTCCTCAGTACTGTGACCACTCTTCTGTTCTGCACAGTCTTTCACAGATCAATGGCATAGTAATCACATCTAATTTATCAACTTGACAAGCATTTATTGGACATCTATGTTAATGAAGTACAAGGAAGAATGGAATGATGATGGGTCATGGTTAGACATATTTTAAAATTTTTTCAAAGAATTTTGTATTGATATCTTTTATTTCTGCATTATTTCTCAATATGTCTCCTCCTCATTCCCCCATCCAGACAGCCACTGGGTTGGTAGATAACTAGGAGCAGGATCTAGAGAAAGGGATCGATGAACATAGAGTAACTTTAAAGGAGGAGGGTTCATGGAGTAATGGTGGAGGAAGGGTCTGTAACTGGCAATGTTGAACAAGGAGTATGCTTCCTTCTGATCTACTATGGGGAGTATATGAGAAGGTGCATCCATTAGGAAAGAGGGAGGCTAGGGATGCAGTGTCTTCTGGGAGTTCTCTGTGACTCCTGGAAAGAGTATGAGAGATTTGGTGTAAGATGAAGGAAAGTTCATGAATGAGCAAATGAAAGAAAATTCAAGAAAGAACTAGGAAACATCTGACAGCTGGATTGTGGGGTTGAGAGAGGACATCCTGGGGTAGGTGAGGATGAGAGAATGGGGACAAGTAGCAGAGGAGAGGAAGCTAGGGATTCTATGTAACTGGGACTCGGGGAGGAAGAGGTGGGAGCTGGCAGGTCATAAGAAGTGGAGATGTTCTTACTGGGATATTTGTCTTTAAGAGTTTATTCTAAGAGTAAAGTCTCCTGTCTTTCAAGTACTAGCAAAGAAGTGATATTAAACTTAGTGCTAGCAGCCCATAGGAGAAGTACTAAGGACAAGAAATCTGACATCTGAGTCTTTTACTCTAATCCCTCAAGTAGAGGCCTTTTGTGGAAGGCTATGATCCTGGCAATAAGGTGTTTAAGCCCTAAACCTGTCAAATTTTTAAAGAATGCAAAGTTGACAAGAATAGATAAAATCTGGAATGATTGAATTAGGGTCAAAAGGTCGTAGAATGTGAGTTGTTGAGTTCACTTGTTTCTGATTCTTCTTGTCTTCTCTGTTCCACTCATGTACTTTTAAGGTTTGCAACATATATATATATATATGTATATATATATGTACATATATATGTATACAACACTATATTTATGTCTTTTTCTCTATTTATGTCTCTATCTACGTCATTATCTATCTACTCATTCAAACCTCACGTTTACTTCTATTATGTCACCAGTACCAAATACTTTTGACAATTCCTATTTCCTATTATAGTTGGAGGTCTGGAAGTGCTTGCTATTCTTGCTTCATTACTACTATTTAAAAATTATTTTCCTTGACATTCTAGATTATTTTTTTCTCCAAGTCAATTCTTAAAATTATTTTGTCTGTATCTGTAAATCATTCTTTTGGTATTCTGACTGGTATTTGACCATATCTATATATTAAGTTTTGTAATATTTTCAGTTTAATTAAGTAGACCAGGCCCAGACATGGGCACTGAATATTTCTCCAGAATAACATCATTTCTAAGAAGAAATTTCAGCAAAATATCATAATTTTGAGCAAAATGTATATAAACATATCTACATTTATATGTTCAATCTATAAATTTATATATAAGTATACATATATAAATCTATATCTCTATAGATTGAATTATTAGTACATGTGATTCTTGAAAATAATCAGCCTCTTCCTTTCATACTTTGCCTAATGTAGTTGCCTCATTAAAATACACCCGCTTTTTAGTGGTTTCTGTTGATTTCTGAAGAGATAGAGGTGACAGCACTCGCCAGGTCAGGAATTCACCTTACACATATTCACTTCAAGATGTCATCTCTGAAAACATGCTTTTTTAAGAATCGAAGAATTTCTGCATTCATGATACTAAATTGTCTCTTCACATCCAAACCTAAATATTATGCAGATTTATGTGATAATGAGGCAAGTTTTCTTTCAGTTTGAGTGTTACTGGATACCCAAAAAATGTAGCCAGGCATTAAACCATTATTAAACGTTATCTTTT